AGAAACAATGTGTACACGCCACACGTTCCTGTGAAGTACACACCTGCTGCAGCGTGTCAGCGTCCCACACGCGGATCGTGCCGTCGTCCGACACAGTGGCCAGGTGTCTCCGCATGGGGTCCACGGCAAAACACGCCACGCGGCCTGTGTGTGAGCGCATCAGTGTGGTGTACGCGCGCGTCGACACATCCAGGACGCCAAGGTTGCCCTGAGGGAGGAAGATCGGCGCGTGTTACCAGTGTGTGACTTCCTGTACACAGCGCATGTTATTGTTTAGTCTTAGATCTAGTAGAGTTTTTACGGCGCTCGCAACTGCATAAGGTCATATGAGCGCCAAGGGGTGGGTGTCAACAGAGAAGTCCTTACTCTGCTCACCTCTCTAGCCTCAACAGCACAAAGTCTGCTTCGACTATCAAGGCACCCCGGGAATAGAGGGTCACAAGAGAGTGACAAACATACAAAAGAAGTAGAGGAAAAATGACGACAGTAAGGATGAGGAAAGAAAAATGAAGACAGTAAGGATGAGGAAAGAAAAATGAAGACAGTAAGGATGAGGAAAGAAAAATGAAGACAGTAAGGATGAGGAAAGAAAAATGAAGACAGTAAGGATGAGGAAAGAAAAATGAAGACAGTAAGGATGAGGAAAGAAAAAGCAGCAGAATTATTGACATATTGGATTTGACTTCATTGGACGGCCCTTCACTGACTGACTAACCAACCACAATACTTCATTGGACGGCCCTTCACTGACTGACTAACCAACCACAATACTTCATTGGACGGCCCTTCACTGACTGACTAACCAACCACAATACTTCATTGAACGGCCCTTCACTGACTGACTTACAAACCACAATTGGTGATATTGATAAGTAGAAAGAACATTCTCTACATTCAGAGCAATTCGGAAAGATAACAAGGAAAAAATTGCATTATTTTCAATAAACTTGTTTAACCTAATTTGTTGGACACACAGAGTCGGCCGCCGAGTGACAAATTGTCAAAGTTCACGAGAACACCTTTCACAGACGTAGACTCACCTTGGAAGTGCCAGCCAGAATCTTGAGGCCATCAGCTGACAGACGCGACGCAGTGACGGGGCCCTCATGCTCTGAGGAAGACAACGAGTTACCCATAATTCCACTACCCATAATTCCACGGCAGACAAGTCAGTCATAAATACATTTGAGTTGTACACGTATTGTTAAAGACACCGGAGAGGCTGGAAGAGGGATGGGGGAGATGGGGAGAGACTGAGAGTGGAAAAGGAGAGGGGGAGAGAAATGAGCGAGACAGAGCACGAGATAGAGCGAGAGAGGGACATACAGACAGACGGACCAAGGGACAAAGGTCACAGCGTCAGGGTTTGCGAGTCGAGAAGTGACAGGGGAGAGAACTCACCGGCCTCCAGGTAGACGTGAGCGAAGTCGAGCGGCCACAGCCGGAGGTAGCCGTCATCTGAGCCCGTCACGCAGAACGTGTCGTTGAGATGCATGGAGGTGAGGGACAGACTGCCACCTGTCGCAACGAGGACACAAATACACGGGTCATTTATCCATAACACAAATACAGGGGTCATTTATCCATAACACAAATACACGGGTCATTTATCCATAACACAAATACAGGGGTCATTTATCCATAACACAAATACACGGGTCATTTATCCAGAACACAAATACACGGGTCATTTATCCATAACACAAATACAGGGGTCATTTATCCATAACACAAATACACGGGTCATTTATCCATCTATCCGCAACACAAACATGGAGGTGAGGGACAGACTGCGATCTGTCGCAGCGAGGACACAAACACAGGTTTATCTATCCATAGATTGGTCGTTCTCACATGTTCCAATATGGTGAACCTTTTATGGTGAGACATAAGTATTCCAATATGGTGAACATTTTATGGTGAGACATAAGTATTCCAATATGGTGAACATTTTATGGTGAGACATAAGTATTCCAATATGGTGAACATTTTATGGTGAGACATAAATATTCCAATATGGTGAAAATTTTATGGTGAGACATAAGTATTCCAATATGGTGAACATTTTATGGTGAGACATAAGTATTCCAATATGGTGAACATTTTATGGTGAGGCATAAGTATTCCAATATGGTGAACATTTTATGGTGAGGCATAAGTATTCCAATATGGTGAACAACCCATTCAAAAAGTCCAAGACTAGCGTCTGGTCACAGAGTCCAATTGATTGTTTATTGTAAACGACAGACAGAAAAGTTTCGATCAACTAAGGATTGAGCTGCTTCCATCCTGACAGCAGATAACAGTGGACACTCTACCAAATATCTTCCTGGCGTGGGAATTCAAATCAAAACTGGTGTACCAAAGACAAAGTGTCCCAATGGAGAATCAACTCCAAGCAAAAGGCGAAAGGTATGGAAGCTCACGTAAAAGAACAAAATAAAGTCTTTTTTCTTTTTAAAGTAATTTGACAGAATTGAAGAGAACAGCTTAGTTCCTCTATGAGATTCTAAGCACACAACATCTTTCCCTTTACCTGCTTCTCCAGAATCTTTCATCTTGGACCCCCGGCCCACGCCACTCTTGCTGGGCAGAAGTCTCCGCACGTGCTGTACGGTCAGCTTGTTGTAGTCCATCTCAAAGATGTGACCAGACTTGGTGCAGGCATAGCTGGACAAACAAAACAGCACGGATCAGCAACATACATGGGTCAATCAAGATCTGCTGTGTCTGGTCACCAGCGACTTACATGGGTCAATCAAGATCTGCTGTGTCTGGTCACCAGCGACTTACATGGGTCAATCAAGATCTGCTGTGTCTGGTCACCAGCGACTTAC